GTGACAAGAAACGAGGTTCAGCAGAAAGGAGAAGTGAGAGAGTAAGGATAGTAAGATAAATGAGGGCTATGGCAATGGCAAGTGGTGGAATTAATATAACTATCTTTTTATTCTCATTACTTCCAACTTACCAGCTTCAGGCATACCAAAATGTTTGCATTTAAGTCTGATGCCTCCTAATAAAAAAAGTGAGCAAAGAATTATACTTCTGAATAGACCAATTAATCAGTTTCCACATAAACATCTACCTTAGTGTTTTAAAGCAAATCCTTAATTCCTAACATATCAGATGTTTCAAAAGGCCTTGGAAGGTTTGCATAAAATCTGTTCAGGCAATACCACATCCTTTATTTTAAAATACAAACACATTTTGCCACAAAGGTGCATTACAAAAGTTGGTACAGATATTTGTAAAATTATAGACAACCGTTTCATATTTGCAAGAGTAAGGCACTATATTTAAAAGTGTAAATACTTACATAAGATTCATTGCACTTTAATTTTTAAATTCACTGTATGCAGTAAAACTGATACAGAACTGTCCTTAAGATAAATTAAAAGCAAAAGACATTATATGAAGCTTACATGCAGAATCCCTAGATCAGATGGCTCCTGAAGATGATGGATTCTACAGTTATCAATATAATGTGGCAACTAATATACACAGCAATGTTGGAGTTCAGAATGATAAACTTGGGGTTTACTGGTCCACTGCAACTTCAGCCATACATTCACTCCATTTCATCAGTCTAATTAATATATTAATTATAGGTGCTTTCTGAAATCTCAAAGTATAAAAAACACAAACTTCAGGAAGTGAAATTTTTGTCCTGAAAAAGTTTAAGAATATTCAAAATTTTCCCAGAATAGACAAGGATATGTAAGACTGCAACTTGTTCCAGTGGGTCATGGATTGACAATTGTTAAATCTCGGTGTTCTTGAGCCAAAAATAAGAAAAGTAGCCATGCACTCTATTTATGGGAGAATGTTTGAATCCCAATCAGAGGCCAGGACTCACAGTCAGGTCCCCTAAACCACGAAACCATTACAACTACCATCTGAGAATGAGATGTCAGAAAATAGGAACACACACTATAAGAAATAATATATACAATAAAATGATCATACAAAGTTACCTGAAGGGACATTATCCATTGACAATTGAATAACAACTTCATCTGATTCTGCTGTTTGGAGAACATCCCTATTTAAAACAATACAACAAGAGGTTGCACAGAGGCTGTCTGAAGTGAGTCAAACCAAACAGAATCTCTTCAGAATAAAAGAATGAAGTACAGTAATGCTCTGTTCACATAAAGAAGACTATCATGAATATTATATTTAAGCATCCTGTTGCATTAATGTATCACATACAATATATATATATATATAATCAAGTTGCATTGTAGATGGAAATATACTGTATGTGACTAACATGAACTACAAATTTTAACAAACTTTAAAGTTGAAAGATGGGCGATCCCAGTACCCTAAGAATTTAACCCATGGAGGAATATATTATTATATAGTAAAGATGTTAGTTAAAATAATTCTCTATCATATTAACATAAACTCAGCTGAAATAAAACAAAACAACAGGAACAACAAACAAATACAAAGTAGCATTATGCAACATAAAACACTGCTCTAGAATGTTCACAGCTCAATCTAAAACCCTCCTTCCAGTCAGTATCAGGCAGCAACACTGACTGCCCTGCAAGAAGCCACATACAGACACACACTCAATGGAAGGAGAAGCGTGACAGTCAATGAGCTTACAGCAGCTTGGGGTTCCATTTGCATTCAGCTCCCTGCGTAGTGTCAAGATGTCATCAATCTCACACAATAATCACATATACCATTTGCATTACTAAAGCTACAAGGTCCAAATACCCTGATGTTAGGGCCTGGGTCCAAACAGTAGCAACCTGGGAGACTATATCAATCTGCACGATACTTTCTGCACTGCAGGAACTAACTTATGAAACTACTGCCTGCCAGTTCTCTTCTTCAGTTAACACACGCTATACATCCACTTATTACAAAAATGTACACTAGTTCTGCAAGATGCCCTTCATCAAAACCCAAGATGAACTACAGAAAGTCCAGTTTTAAGCTGCATAAAACGTTGTTCCTACAGGTCTATATGCAGCAAGCTGTCTACTCTTACGAACCACAAAACGTAATAAACTGCCCTCCTGTGAAAGAAAAACTAACAAGCAAAATATATCTGTAAACAAATTTTCTTTACAATGGATGTCACCAAAATAAAATTTGGCACTACAAAGCATTAATGTGTTGGCACTCCATTTGGATGTCCATAAAAATTAAAAACATGCAGTAACAAAGCAACAGCTTGGATTTGAAGTCCTCACAGTGTTGTAAACCTTCTCAGATGTAACACTGTGCAGTCTGCTGAAGTCAAATGACATTTCACAGGAACACAGCACCACCACCTTCAGGGTCAAAGAGTACGCTAAGCATGAAACAGGCAGAAAGCAGCATTCTACTTGTTTTTTTTTTTAATTTACTTGGCTAACTCTTTATCCACCCTGAAGATGGTGCTATGTTCCCCTAACATGCTGGTTGACTTTCCTGGACTACAAATCGTTATATATCAGAAGATACAACTCTTGAAGCTGGCATAGGCTGCTAGCATGAATCTTAAACACATACAATCTGACAAATTTATAACTCACTGATGAAAATACTTGAAAATGATCATTCTTGGCAACATCCTGAGTATCCTGATAATGATTTGAAAGATGTCTGCTTTTAATACCTTTCTGATCCTGAGTTTCCTGAAGTAGGTCAAGGACTCATATTGTTTTAACAGATGCAAAATCTGTCGCTATTCTTGTGGCATAGTGAAACAATTTGAGAGGCACAAACTCCCTACTCTCATCATCACAATGGTCACATTTCCAAATGGCAAGGATCAGCGAACTACACATTCAGAGCAACTACAACTGAAATTCTGCACAGACTGAACATGTCATAACATTTTCTTCTTAATATTATCACCATGTTTCAATTTGCAATATCTTCACAATCCATCCCTCTCAAAAGGAACAATCTACACTGTTCAAATGTACATTGGAACGCATGTAGCAAGGGCTCTGCACTTTGGGCATTTGTAGAGATTTAGTTACAAGTCCATCAGAATAGAAAGAAAGGCACACAATGACCCTCGGGCCACCATTTGACAGTTCTGTGGAAGCAACGAACAGAATACAAGTTTCATAGTCATCAACCATTTCGTTAGTGTTGATTTAGTTAAACTATTCTTTTATATATTCTACATTTTACCTGCCTGGTCCAAAAAGTAATCACGTGACTACACAGGTAAAGGTAAAGTGATTAACTAATTGAGCACTATGCCATGAAGACACATGTGGAAGTGCATGTATAGACCACGTTTTCTTGAGCTCGGCACTAGCTGGAGGTGAGCGGTCACCTTCACGCTCTGGCTGCTTTACCCCTGGGCAAACACTCCCTGGTACTCATTGGATAGGAGACTGGGTGGGCCCCAGAGCCAGTCTGGACAACATGGAAAAGGTAACAATTCTTGATCCAAAACCTCAGTTGTCCTGCCTGTAGCCAGGTGCTATACTGACTCTGCTTTCCCAGCTATAATTCCAAGATAAACACTTCTACTAAACTTCACTACAAGACTATATGTCATATGAGGATCAATTCCTATTGCTCAGAAACATTAAACAACTGATATCTGAAAGCCAAAAAGTGGCCTCGGAAAGATAAATAAGTTTCAACATAAATCACTAAACCAAATGAATAAGTTCAATGCTTTTTTGGCAAATATGCCTATGAAGAGTAACTTCAAGTGACAAGTTAATGATTTAACAGATAACATTTTATTGACTGATTCATTTTTCAGTTGGTGTGTACTTAGAGTGCTGACTGCTACCTCCAGCCATGTAGGAACAGGATGTACTGCTTCCGATTTCACAACACTGGATTTGAGCATCTCAACACACGTCCACTACTAATCAACATTTCTAAAAATTATGTGATTTCAAGATCCTGAGAGAAATTTCAATTTAAGTCTTATTACATAGCAGAAAAAAATACTTTACTGTTCTCTTTGCTCAGTGCGACATTCATATTCTTTGTCACTTAGGGAACATGCAATTTCTAAGTTGCATTATGTAAATCAATCTACACATCGGCTGTTCTTAGCAACATAAATTAAATATACAGTTTGGCACACATGCAGACTGATTACTGTCACAAAATGTCAACCAGCTATGAGTTGGATGGTTGAGGAGGGGGATCACTCAGCCTGTTCAATGAGTGCCAGGGACACTTTCCTTAGGCATAAGACATCTGGTGAGTTACGATGGAGGAGCTTTCCCAGCAATCCCACACATTCATGATACACAGAGACTTCATATTCTACCATACAGAGAAGTTACACTGCAGCCATCTCTGTGACCTTGACTGAAGAAATCACAGATCTGAGAAAGTGGTGGGGCATGAAATTCAGACTGACCCCTCCCAAACAAAATTACATTTTCTGTCACAAGCTCTGTGTAACATGCCAGATTATCTTGAGAGTGGCCACTCAACCTGTCTGAGCCAGACATGTGATGTGAATTACAATCACGGTAACTGACACTACCTCAAACTGAACAATTTGCCGCATCATCTGTGAAGTACAAAACTGTTGTTCACCTTAAAATCTTGACAGTCAGAGAGCCCTTTCCATTCCTAGGGTGACAGCATTATAATTTGTATAAACAGACCTTCAGCTAATTATTGTATTAACATTTCCTGTACCAAACCAAGAGAACACAATGCCATCAAAACATTTGATTAAACCAAAATTTCACTCTTATATTCATTATACAACATCCACATTATTAAAACAGTGAAATTCTCTCATTCTGACTGCAAGGCAGAACATAATGTAATAATATATACAACTGTAATTATATGACAACAGCCAGGCGATTTGTACCGCATTCAGATCAGTATCTGTTCTTCCAGTTTATGTAATAATAAACACGGCTGCAAAACCTTGCTCTTGGGCTGCGGGCAGTCATGACTTTCCAGCCATATCCAAATATGTAACATGCAAAACGCAGCTTGAAGTACAAAACTACCCTTAATTTTTAGCACATCCTCAAATCAATCTCTCTTCTTGCAACTTGAGGCACCTAATAAGTGTAAGATCATCAAAAACATCAAATCATTTATTACTTTGCAAATTGTAGCACTGTGCAGCAACATATCCATAACTGAACGATATGTCACTGTACGAGACTGCTGACACACTATGGGGATGTATGATCATAAGGGAAGACTACATGGCATCCCAGGAGCTAGTACTTCTGCACAGTAAATGCCAGGAACACCTCAGATCTCACACAGATGAAGAAAGACTCCAGCATTTTTACAGCTGTACACTTAGGAATAAACACAGTAACAACCAGTGTGAGATATCTCAAGTTACAAGAACAACCTTAACATGTTAGAAAATTTTAAATAACAAAGCTAAAAGGATTTTTATTTCTAGAGCCTTCTGTTCCTCAGGAAGTAACATGAGACACGGTTCCACACTATACCTATAAGCCAAACCTGGCCAATAAATTCTAAATTTTGAAAAAAATTGTCTGTGTCTATGGATGAGTTTTTCCATGGTTCTGCCAATATAAAAAGCAGGTGGTAGATGTATGTTTTGTTCACCAGCAGTGAAAGGATTTTATATGTCAATCCCATCGAAACCACTTTAAAGGAAGCACAGATGATGTATAGTATTAGGAAGACACAGTTACATAAATATTTTGTCAAACATGTTCTGTACTTATTATCAATCCCGTATCACAAGAGCAAGACAATATGTGACCACTGAACTTAGGACACTGCTGGTCTACACAGTTCCGCTGTTATAACGAGGAACACTTTCTCATCCTGAACAGGCTGATTTAAAATACAAAATACCAGTTTCCTTTGCCTGTAACAGCTGGGTATGAAACTGTACCATGATATGTATGTGTGTGTGTGTGTAAAATTCAATTATTAAAAATACAGATGCAATTTTCTGTTTATAAAAGAACTCAGAAACATGCAGAATATTATAAAAATGGAGAAATGTTAAATGGAAGCATGCGTATTAAAACAGCAAATTTTAAATGCAACTGAACAGGCACTTTCTCGCTCTCACTCGCAGGGTATAATATGTACATGTCCACATGCCACACAGTGATCAGGGGGTCACATGTGGATTGTTGCAGCTGTGTAGCGAGCCTCACCCCTCTTCCAGCTCCACTGACTTGGCCGATACTAAAGGAATAACAAGAAAAAGCCTTATTACATCAAACAATTCCATGACATAGGCACTTACTTGAACAAGTGATAGTTGTTCAGCTGGTCAAGAAGTCCCCACTAAATGGTTCTGATAATGGTGTATTACACTCAGAATTGCTAAGCCCCTGGCCTTGTCCATCACCTAGTATTTCCAAACAGAACATAATGCTCCGGAAACTATGTTTCCAAAACATTCTTTTTAATTTAATTTAGTTACATACTCACCACACCAAAAATGTTCACAATAGAAGCTGCAGCATATGTTAATGAGGAACATATTCTATGTCATGTATATAAACTTCTTGTATGAAGAGCCAGTTTTCAGAAACCGCATAAACTAGAAGTGAGCTTCAAGTACAGCAGAGGGGGCTGGTATGCATCAACACGAAACTTTTTTTTAGCAAGATATCCAATACCACTTTTCATTAACCTGTTGAGTATTCTCACTGAAGTCTTCTGGGTTTAGCATTTTGGAGAAACACATACTGTCTCTAACATCTAGGTCTGATGGAGGCATCATTATGTTCCTCCAAAATGTTGGTATTCACCTACAATATTACACAGAGTGACAAACCATAAAATCATGACCTGTAATGTTACGAATGTTTACAGCTTCCAAACATAAAGAACTGCTATAACTTTAAGCAGGCCACGTTACGTTATGAACACATGATCTACTGTGAACAGGAATGCACACTCAGGACACACATTCTGTGCAAGGCTCGAGTGCTAAATAAACTGCTGAGTACCATCTTCTAAGATGCGATATTGTGTGGTCTGGTAGAAGTTTATGAATGTTTCGCAAGTATGTACTGCCTCCATCTTCAGGGGACAAGAAGTGAGCTGAGCAAGCAATGATACAAACAAGCACAGTGCTTTGTGGCTCCTGCGCCCTTTCTCACTTGCTCAGCTCACCCTTTGACACTGAAAATAGAGGCAGACCATTCCTCTAAAACATCTGTATCGGCACACTTGTATCTGCGTCACATCCCACGATCACTGCTGACTGAACCCAAAATTTAAAATAAGATATTTTTTGTGTGACTGCAAGTTCTGTTACCCCACAGTTGATCTGCTTCAAATAAACTAATTGATGAAGAAAGCAGTCTTCTGGGATTTGGCACCGTGTATATGTAGTGTTAACAGACGTTCCTCTGAAACGTCGGTTAACACCACATATACACGGTGCCAAATCCCAGAAGACTGCTTTCTTCATAGTCACCGCCGTGAAAGCCTCAAATCTTACACACTAATTGATTTCAGGATAATTTGTGTTCAATCTCCCCCAAACTATTTCAGTCCATTCTCAATATCATGGGTTTTACTGCATCACAAATGAACACTGACAGAGTTGTGCATACATGGCTGCTAAATAAACTCACCCTAATGAGGAACTGTCCAGATGCTGTGTGGGGATTCCTGTATGCATAGAGTATCCAGACACCCAGGCCTGTCACCAATGCAATGATGAACAGAATACCAATAATTCCTGAGATGCTCATGGACACACTATGGTCTCCTGTCAACAACAATCACAACTCTCATGAAGCTGGATGTAGGCCCTTCTGAGCCCTATACATTTAGGTTCAGAGTAAGAAGACTGTAAAAGTGCACAGCGTACACTTGACAGGTGCATTCATCAGAAGGAATTACAAATAACATAATTAAGGACATGATGAACTATTCCCTTATAGGAAACAGATACCAAATTCACATGCAGCACTTCACTGTTACCTGAGTTCTGACTGAAGAAACAATCAGTACTGAGGCCTTGCTGTTATCATTATTATACAATCTAAAAGAACATCAAGCATACATCATGTTTCGGTGTTACAAGCTGCAGTTTACAGAATGTTTTCTGCACATCAAAATAAGTAAAAGGAGTTTATATAAATACGTACCCTGCGGGCTTTCCAGAAAACGTTAAACCCATTACAAAATGTCAGTTCTTGCCACCATATGCTCAAAAACCAGAGACATTCTGCTTGGAATGCATGGTGACCATAGAGATTCAGCCAATGATGAACTCTGTGTTGATGTTTACAGGACCTGACAGCCTTACTTCGAACACACAGTACTCTAATGTAGACAAATAGACACTAATAATACACATTACATACAGTCTGAGTAAGTGTGAAGCAGTCCAATTGGGAAAGCACAATACATACAACTCCAGGAGAGTGCAAGTGAAATGCTACAGATGCTGTTACAATATACAGAGAAAATACCCCAATCGGAGATGCCCAACCTTCAAACTTCCCTTTCTGCTAACAGCTGATTCCAACATGTGAGAGCTTTTCACACAACGCAATGGGATGTTGACCTTCCACGTCCTGTATGTAATGTCTGGATGGTATAACAGATCCTCAAGGTGCACTGAGAGGCAGCCTACCATCAATACCAGACTTCTTGCAGCTCATACAGGTACCTGCTGTACGCTGCATGTTACAACAACAGCAGCTGTATCCGTAGAGATAAATACCACACAATGTGCATTCTGTCAATAGTTTTGCAAGACACTACATATATAGCAAAATGTTTAGATGAGCAGGGCACATATTAATACCAACTTCTTTACTTATTCTGATATCCAAAAACCATCCTGTAATTCACATGACATGCAATCATGTGACACCCAGCATTAAATAAACTGAGGAACAATCAATCAAGCACGGACTAGAACTTGTAGTTTTCTGCAGTCCATCTTCATGAATGCCCTGCTAGAATGCCCAGCACATTTCCTCCTTCCGCACCCTATGGGGTATGTGTTCATGTGATGGGCAGGAAGGGGGTGAAATGGCATCTGAGTTCTTTGTGCTGCATAGTGCGTCTCATGCCAGGACATGTTAAGACTCGTATATCCTACAGAAACCTGCAGATGAACTGTTTAATATGCTTCAAAGTTGTATTGTAACACCACCATACAAAAATAAATCTTAATACAGTCTTAAACTCTATAAATAGTTTCCTTTTCATTCATTCACTATGGTGTTCTGAAGGCGTATGGCCAAATGCTGAATATGCAACTTATCCACATCAGCTTTTTAAAATATATAATAAAATCTTGAAACTTCTGGATAAAGTGTAATGGACATGATTTCATCTTCCTCTACGATTTCTCAACAATAAATATTTAGAGACACACACACACAGGAACACACGTAGGTCTTCATAACTATCCAATTTATATTTTAATGGCCGAAAAATTTTTTGTAAATTTTTCATGTGTCAAATTTGATGAAAGTACAAACACGCAGTCTAGGCAAACATCAAAACCAGTCCCTCAATTAGCTTGAAAATGTGCCCAGGAGTAAACAAATGGTAACACCTTTCTTCCCACAAAAATCAAGAGAACTTGACCATTCTGATACATCCCTTGTTTTCAGGGGCTGAACATGCAGCTCATAGAAGAAATACATGCATAAATTTGCTGCAGAAATGTCTTAGAAGACATCCAATTGAAGAGTGAGGGTATGGAGAGTAATATTAAAATGAATGTTATAAAATGGTTGAGGGTGCTAGGAGAATAGACTCTGTGGTCCGGGACTGTACCCAAGGGCAGGATATGATATTAGTTGGTTGAAACATTGGGATCTTCTAATAGAGAATTAGTTTATTCAGTTCAAATGAAGAGAATTTCATGTGAAATGTTAACTCCAGTGCTGTTTCCTTCTTCTAATTTTTCACATAACATACAGGAGAGAGATTACAGCAGGCTGCGCTGCACCACTCACCATGCATGCCACCGTTCTCCCCGGGGCTCTGAATGCGACCAGTTTGTGTCACACCGTTCATCTCACCATCCACTATATTATTAGGCGGTCCATCTATTGAGGCCTGAGGTGTGAACGACGCGTTGACTGGGGCAGGAGGGCACTGTGCTGTTTCACTCAATGCACTCTTATCACAACCTTTATGCAGCCAGTCCTGGCGGTGTCGATCCATTCCAGTGGAGCACCTACTGGCCACTGGACACCACTGGCACTGCAACAAGAAGTAACCAGTTGCAGAGTACATTCATCACACAGGCTGGTAATGTACAGATGGGAACAAGCAACTCACTTCAAAACCCGTGGACATGGTCAGGCAGCTGGCACAGTCTCTGTGGTTCACACAAGTTGGCAAAGCATGGAGAACAATCACTGTCCAGTTCTTGATGTCCTGGCGATTGAAGTTCACACGATGATATTCATAGATAGTCTTTCTGCGAACAACTACAACAAACCAATGCATCAAATTCTTAACAACTTCATCTTTAGAACAAACAATTTCATTTTTGACTAATTTGATTTACTACAAAATGCAAACACTCTGAACACACGAAGAAAGCAGTCTTCTGGGATTTGGCACCGTGTCTATGTGGTGTTAACCAACGTTTCAGAGGAATGTCTGCTTTTACCGGTTCTCACGGTCTCTTCGCTTGCGGATTTCTTATATTTTTCCTTCTACCCTGAAGATGGAGGTGATACGTTCCTCCGAAACGTCGGTTAACACCACATATACATGGTGCCAAATCCCAGAAGACTGCTTTCTTCATAGTCACCGCTGTGAAGCCTCATATCTTACACTCTGAACTCATATTTGACTGCAAAAAGTTTTTTGTTTCTTTGAAACAGAAAGCAGTCTAAGGTGATGAGAAACTTTGTAATTCACTGTACACAGATTACCAACAGCAAATTCAATGTGCTATGACTTCTTGGACTTGTCACTCAACTGAGTGGGAAGGGGGGGGGGCAAGATGAAGAAAGCCATGCATAACTTTGGTGGAGCAGCCCCTTACAGAGTGGAATACCAAATACATGGCAGAATAATATTAAATTAAACAGAACTCCAGGAAGTTGTGAACTGACTCTAGGGACAAACTAATGCTGGGCTTCGGTTATCAGTCAAGCTTCACTGCTAAGAAGCTAGGTGCCATATAACTTACAGAAGATGGTTCTGTCAATGATGTAAGCGTCGGACAGCCCAACCTTGACCGGATGCTGGTCATCCTGAATGTTTTCGATCACAACTGGAACATTCTGGTACACAAATATGATGTCACCATTACTGTGCAGTGTTGCCTGGAATGTGAAGTTTCCTGAATCAGGCTTGTCCTGCAGTACCACTTTCTCCCATTGTACAGTGAATGCCGTTCCTGTTAATACAAGAACACAATGACGCCTGGTTGCAACTTCAAATGAAGAAACTTAACCTTCTTCCTCAAATGCCTTAGCTTACCGTTGTCCACATATTTTACGTAGGAGTTGTTTGAGATGCTAGTGTCAAAGTTGGCCATGAGAGGTGCTATATATTGTGTTGCCGCAAGCCATGAATGGACATACTCTCCAGTATACAGAAAACCTCCTGTGGCTATGGTCACATTTCGAACCAGATGACCATAAAATGGGAAGTCAAATGATAACTTCACTGTCTGTAAAAGAAAAGACAGTGAGGCAACAATGTGTGAATGCACAACAGTGTCTGGGCCTTGTTAGATTTGACACTGTGTTTCAGTAAGCCTGAAACTGGGGGGGGGAAACACACACACACACAAAGCAATGGAATTGTCTGAGACCACATTGCACTGAAATACTATCCAACTGATGTTCTGAGAGAAGAGCCAAAAACTGCTGACACAGACTTCAAACAAAGCCTTCAACTATACTGCCACCACATGCCAAAAACTATTTCTGACACTATACAATGGCCAAAATATAGGTGGGTGGATAATATTAAAATGGATCTTAGAGATATAAGATGCTTGGATTAGTCTGGCTCAAAATAGGGACCAGCTGAGGGGCTCTTGTGAACACTGTAATGAACCTTTCGGTTCCATAAAATGTTGGGAAGTTCTTGAGTAGCTGCACAACTGGCAGATTGTCAAGAATGGCTCACCTCCATGGGCCATGTCTATCATTTCCTCCTGCCCCACAGACCACACACCACATAAAAATATTTTCACTTACTGCGGCCCGCCGATGTGATTGTGACAGCATGTCGTTCACCTGAACATCTAATCTGTCTGTCATATTCACCCAGTACTGATGTCCCACCATTTCATTGTTGGAGATGAAGGAGCTGTTGTAGTACTGATGATGGTCCTGTCAACACCACAACCAGTTTTCATATCAGGAGGCAGTTACTAGATACTTAGTGGCAACAGATCTACTCAAGCAGCTACACAATGTCAACAGATACCAGACTAATAATCAGAAAATATGCTTACAGCTCTGAAAAATGTGGATGGTAATTGAAAACAACAGGGACTGGTAAAGCACTGCAGACACCATCAAAATTTGCTCCAAAGAAGGTGTGGGTTAAGATAAAAAATATCATAAAGCATAAGTTGAGGAAGTATGCTCAAAATTATTAGACCAACAAGCGCAGGGTAAATTTCAGCAGTTCCAGAATCTATACAAAACTGACATACATAATCTGAACGATGCGAGACATGACACTTGTAGAACTTTCAGAAACCAGCGCTGTAGGCACCACAAGAGTGCTGGGGTTCTTCAGGTTTTGTTTGAAAACAGAACTGGGTGTCACGTGCATCAGTGTCAGCTTCACAGAACCAGACTGTACATGAAATGGTCACCACACACAACTGGGTTCCACACGAAACTTACCTGTTGGTACTTTGCTATGTTGTGCTCCTTCAGTGTAATGTTATCAACCGGGCGCGAAAACTGGTCTATGGAGATGCCATCGATGGCATCTGAAGTGTTTCCTGGCAAGATTTCTTTGGGCATCACCAATGTCACATTACTTCCTGCAACAGGTGAATGTTACTTCTTGGACTATGTAACAGACAGGAACGGTTCATGTGGAGATAACAAAAGAGAAATGGGAGAGGCAGGCGAAAAACAGAATGATCAAAGGGAATGAATGCTTAGTGATGCTTTCAGCTCACCGCTGGTGTTATTCTTCACTGGAATTGTTGCATTGAGCGCTGTGAAGTTACTGTGTGACTCCGAACTGTTTGTGGTGGTCGGCCATGATGTTCGGTTGACATCTTGTGAGCTTACTGGCGTCACATTGCTCTCTCTCGTAACGTAGGTCCCCTTGGATGTGAGCGGACCTCCAACTGGTGGCGCTGACGTAGTACTGCTCCCATTGATCTGCACTATTTCCGTGACTGCTGTTGTTGGATGTAAGGCTTCGGGCATGCCAGATCCTCCCTCTTCAGTTGAAACAGAGCGACGGGCCACAGAATGATCATGGGGTAACTCATTGTGCTGATAATAATTGTAATATGTATCTGTAAGCAGAAAATTCATTATCCATAATGTTGGCTGGTCTGTAATCTGGTTATACTCATTCAATTCCCTCTGTATGGACAGCACAACATGAAAAAATGAACATTTCCAGCAACATCACAGATAACTTGCAAATAAGTCTCTGCAATAAAAAGTATGGTCCCCTTATGATTGTGAATGTTTCCAAGTGTGAAGGTGCAAAGGATTAGTGTGGTGTTTTGCAGTGCTATCATTATCTACACAATACAGTGTCAAATGCTAAGATGGCTGATGAATGGAAAAAATTTGCAAGTAAGCAGTCATGCCCTAACCACAGTATCACATAAATATTTGCCTGGAGGAACTAAGAAAAAACATGACAAATATCATCAGGGCAGCTGGTGTCCCAGCTGAGATTCACACCAAGGGCCCCTTGATTATATACACCATCCTGCTCAGTGACGAGGCATGTATATATATATATATATATATATATTTGAAGAGTGGTACCGAAGTAGGTCTCCTTGTAAGGATACCAGTCCCTGTTGGCACATTCCAAGCAACAGTAAGCTGGTCTGGCCCCTACTGACAGGAAAAGCTCTGTTGGATAAATCTCTATGACGTAGTCCGCCTGGCTGGGCCCAGGTTCACATGTCCAGTCAGATAGTGGGAGGAGTCTGTCTGTTTATTGCGCATACTTCGGCTGGAAAACCAGGAGACATTTCAAGAAGTGAAACAAAAATCAAATGCATGGAGCACAACCTTTCTTGAGAAACTGACAGTAGATCAGCTGGTCAAGAAATTTTCACCTTTTATGGTCTTCACAAGATCCCACCAATGGCCCCCAGTCCTGGGCCAGAAGAATCCAATCCACATACCCTACAGCATCGTTAACAGTGATGTCTTCAATACCGCTGCCAAGTGGACCAGTACAGCAGTAACACTCTGGAGGCACAAGGTTTGAACTCAGGCAGGGCGCCGACTATCATGACTGATGTCTTTTGTGATTTCCCTGATCCCCCCTTCCCAAATTAAAGTCAATATCTTGATTAAGCAGTGACTGCCTCGCTCTAAACTGCTTCCAATGCATCCAACCGTCCGTCCGCAATTCGTCATTCATCCCACCATTTGACACTGCAGGCGCCGTGAAACAGCCCTTGAAAGAAAACATTCTGCTGTGCATGCCTACAGCCTCCCTTTCCTTCTGGTATCCCAATCAAAACGAACTTCTCACCTCTCGTATGCACGCTACACTTCCCGTTCAATTCAGCTTAATAATAATGAATACAAATGATGCTGCCCTTGATTACACGAAATACCAGGAGGTACCTGTTGTGGGTGCTGCGACCAGATAACAAACATTCTCTTTACTTTTACTTAACAGCGCTTTTTAATTGCATAAGTTATTTTGTGAGGACGATATGAGTGGGATGTGGCCTGTGTTGATATCACCGCAATATCTGCCTGGGGAGAATGGGGAAACCTTGTCTCCGAATGTCCCAAATGCCGCCATTGCACCGGTGGTTGGTAAATCACAAAAAGCAAGCGGAGACCCCGTTCCGGTTCCGGTTGCTGGCCACTGCCCAGATATGTGACGTGAAGCATGGAATATACATCTCGAAGCTCGGTAACTGGCGTAATATTGTGACAGCGCTGAACACAACGCTGATTAGTTTATAATGAACTGGAAAGGGTGTGGAAGAAAGCGTTCGTCGCCTGATTTGCGGTACTATATTTGCTTGGAGGTACTGAAGAAAAACTCCGAAAGCCGCACGGAGAACCGATCTCCAGTCCCGGACCTCTCGATTACGAAACTGAAACAGCTGCGACATTTTGCTACAGCAGCAGCTTCACACGGCCGCAGGGGGGGGGGGAGCGTTAAAAATCGCTTCCCACCAATTTAAATGGTCAGAGGATAAGTGGACTCGAAACTGCATACAACAAATCACTCAGGGGTGTTCAAATGCCGCGAGTATGCGGAACGAAATGGTTATGCAACGGCGAGACAGGGGAGTCACAACAAACTTCACTCAGGATGGTGAAGCTATGCCAGCTTCTTGCGGGCTTCTCTCGTTTTGCTTATTCTGTGACCTTGCGGATAGAGCCGATATGTTCGTCCAAATCATCGATTTTCTTCCGAGCTACATGACCACAGCAAACCACTGCTCAAATTCTAAGCCACTGTCAGGATAACCGGCAGCTGAGACCGCAGATTCAACAAGCCTAACAATTAAACACGTCCATCTTACCGCAAGCAACGGGTTTCCCCGGCGAAATTCTGTTGAACCACTGAACAGACAGCGACGCATCCTGCGTCTTCGGGTTTGACGGGCAGCCCTGTTTCGACCTACTAGAATTAACCCTTCAAAACCCAGTGGTCACTATATCATATCACTTTCCTTAAGATACTAAAACTCTGCATTCTCTCCACAGAGCGTATCTGCGTGTTCCGTATGGTTCTCACAATAAATAGCGACTGTCTCCCCGAACAGCATTAACCGGTTCGGCTTTGTAGCGGAGACGTAATGAATGTGTTTCCTGTGAGGTACGAACTGGATTTTTATATAAAGCTGTGAAGAAATTCAGCCTTTGAAAGGTTAAGTGGAACATTTTGCGGGCCCTTTAGAAAACTGGGGTTAACCTGGCAGTAACAAAACATGCATAAGGGCCGAAACCGTGAAAGGAAGAGCAGACGGAAATGAGAACTCCTGAGGCCAACCCTGAGCCATAGAGAGAAATGGAAAGACCATACAGACAGAAATGGCGAAGAGAGATGCCTGGAACAGATATATGGATTGAAGAGTTAGAGGAATAACAACAAACTACGTTACCTCCATCTTCAGTGTGTTCCTCCCAAACGTTTGGTACTACACGGCGCCATAACCCGGAAGACCACAATATCGATATTCATCGCCATGGGAACCTCAAATCAGTAAGATTTTAGATGATGACTAACTAAGGAGGACTCTGAATAAAGCATCTCTACGTCGGTAAATGCATTAAGTTGCTAATTCTGGTGCTGAAACAATTCTCGGTTAGAAAAGAGATGTTGCTGCTGTTGGTGAATGGTCTAGTCTGGTAAAATGCTGCCGGTTTCACCGGCGCAATCATTCTTAGTTCCGTGTCCCGCGCAACTCATAACCATATTTTACTGTCTCATAACACTGGGAGTCGTGAAACCAGTCGGTGACTGGTGGTGCCGTGGCAAATGTCAATTCACGCTGGACGGAGGTGAGTGTACGGTGAGGCGTTCCAGCCCACCGGAACTGCATCCGGTTTCCGTTTCCTCGTCGCACACAAACTGCTACTTGATATGCAAGTCATTCATACAAGCTACCTGATGCAGTGTGATTTCTATTTGAACCATTATTTTTGATGAACTTCAAACTTCTGACAACTGAGTCGCTGTCTTTAATAAAAAGCAGAACCAGTTAATTCTGTTTAGGGAAACAACCAGCGTTTATTGTGAGAATCATATAAAGTAAAGCTATCCCTGTAAGAAGCAGTGAAGGCCCACAGGGTTGTGAGACGTTGAGGGTCCCACATTATCTAGACAATCGGCTCAAAGATGGCGGTAAGGTTGTCAGTCTTACGCGCCGGCCGCGCTTTACTCCCCAGGAAAATTATTTAATTAATTCCCGGTACTCATTTCTGTTAGAGTCTGAGTCGACCCCAGGGCCATATTGCTGCTGGAAGCATTAGGTCAATTGAAAAATCAAATGACCTCATCGGGACTTGAACCCGCGACCTTCCGGCTTGTAGCATAGCCACTCAACCAACTACGCTACCGTGAGAATCATATGAAACACAAAAACACAACGTGTGGGCAAAATGAAGATCGTCTTAATGTTGAAGCAGGTGGTACACATAGTAACAACTGTGCTTTGAGATCAGCGATGTTAAAGTGGTCGCAGTCTGTAGTAATGTGCTGTCTCTTGTCGCCTAGAAGGCCTGAGGAAAGCCACGTGAAACTTGTCATGGCACAGAGGTGGCGTGAAGAGCGAACCTGCCCACTGGGCATGTAGAACAAGACAGCAGCTAAGTGCTGACGTCACCGAACTTCCGGCTCCAGCAATGCCAGTGTGATAAGATTTGCGTCTTTGCATCATCTCCGAAATTAAACGACCTTCGATAAGCAGGGCTTTAGTTAATAAGAATCTGGAAAATGCACGCGCGGCGACACAATTCTAGCGCCTTTGCTCGCTTTAATTATTTCTAAGGCCGTAGATCTGGCAGAGAGGGGTGCATTGGCATAATGCGCGTGTTCGTTTTGTTTGAAACACGATTTGTTCCGATAAACATTCAGCGAGTTACGCCCGAAATGTGCGTCGAAATGCGCACGCTGTTATTCGCGTAAAGTGTCTCTGGCTTTTTAACCACAACTGGAATGAGTTCACAGAATTCTGACAGCAAAACTTCCTAATACCAGATTTAATGTACAATTTGGTGTTTTCACGACGTTGACTACAAAGAGTTCGCGTCTTCTGTCTGGGTTGTAACATCGTGTGTAGTTCTGAGAGAATCCGACGTTTCGGAGGAGCATACCTCCTTCATTCAGGCTTGAGGAGAACGCAAGAAGAAACCAGCAAACGCTGGTAGCTTGCTCAACTTTTCGTCACTGAAGATGGTGGCGACATGTCCCTTCGAAACGTCGGGCTCTCCCTGAACTACATGGTGTTATAACTAAGAAGACCACAGTCTTCAAATTAAGTGCAAATTCGCTCAGTCATATATACATATAGACAAACACAGTGAATGTCTGTTTGGAGCTTCTCCCTGTGAACAATCCAAAAAGGGTTCGTCTTACAAATATTTTTATATGTGACGATATGCATATATCTAATTAACTGCAGCAATTTGAAACATACTTGTTTGATCTGTATGATTCCTCCATGAATAAGAAAGAATTGCCTGATCAGTGGAAGGAATTTATTATTGTACCAGTTCACAAGAAGGGTGATAAAACTGCCTGTAGTAATTATTGTGGGATATCACTGCTATTAACTTCATATAAAATTTTATCCAATATTCTTCTCTCAAGGTTAAGTCCATATATATAGGTGAAATTACTGGGGATCATCACTGTGGGTTTTGAAGTAACAGAACAACCAGTGATCAGATGTTTTGCATTCGTCAGATATTGGAGAAAAAATGAGAGTACAATGAGACAGTACATCAGGTATACATAGACTCAAAAAAAGCCTATGATTCAGTTAGGAGGGAAGTATTGTACAATATTCTCATATAGTTTGGGGTACCCATGAAACAAGTCAGGCTGATTAAAATATGTTTAAACAAAACGTATACTAAAGTCCCTATAGGTAATAATTTGTCTGAGCGATTTCCTATTCAGAATCGTCTAAAACAGGTACGTATATGCTTTATCGCCACTACTTTAGAACATGCCATTAGGAAGGTCCAGGAACAGCAGATGGGACTGAAATTAAAAGGGTCACATCAGTTGCTGGTCTATACTGATGATGTGAAACTACTGGGAGATAACATAGATACTGTAAAGAAAAACACAGGAACTTTAATTGACGCTAGTAAGGAGGCTGGACTAGAAGTAAATACAGAGAAAACTAAGTATATGTTGGTGTCTCATCACCAAAGTGCAGGGCAAAATCATGACATAAAGATAGGAAACAGATGTTTTGAAAATGCTGCACAGTTCAGATATTTGAGAATGACTATAACAAATCAAAACCTGATTCAGTAGGAAATTAAGAGGAGACCGAACTTGGATGTTTGCTACCGTTCAGTCCAGAAACTTTTGTCTTCTCATCTGCTGTCAGGAAACATAAAAATTAGAATATACAAAACTATAATTTTGCCTGTGGTTCTGTATGGGTGCGAAACTTGGTCTCTGACATTCAAGGAAGAACATAGACTGAGGGTGTTTGAGCATAGGGTGCTGAGAATATCTGGACCAAAGAGGGGTGGACTGACGGGAGGTTGGAGAAAACAGCATAATGAGGAGCTTCATAACTTGTACTCTTCTCCAAGTATTATTAGAATGATCAAGTCAAGGAGGATGAGATGGGCAGGGTGGAGAAGAGGGGGAGAAGAGAAATGCATATAGGATATTGGTAGGGAAGCCATAAGGAAAGAGACCACTAGGAAGGCCAAGACGTAGGTGGGTGGACAATATTAAAATGGATCTTAGAGAGACAGGATGGGATGGTATGGAATGGATAGATCTGGCTCAGGATAGGGACTGGTGGAGGGCTCTTGTGAACATGGTAATGAACCTCTGGATTCCATAACATGTTGGGATGTTCTTGAGTAGCTGCACAATTTGCGGCTTCTCAAGAAGGGCTCGGCTCCACAAGTGAGTGAGTGAGTGAGTGAGTGAGTCAGTGATGAGTCCTCCGCGCCGTAACAAGCCGTTTTTTATTACTGTGGCTAAAGTGCACCGAGCATAACAAGTGCTCAACCTGTACCTCCACCATTTGGTCATTTTGTTGAGAACACTGTCAGTATCAAATGGCAGGGTGATTCATCAATGAACGACTAACTGCAAAAGATTATGAAATAAATCATGAGGCTGTTCTGGAATTTTCCTGGAAGACATGAGGGATACCAAGAATGCCTCAGTCAGAACAACAGCTGTGTTAGCATCATTTGAACCAGTCACCTACTGACTAGAAGCCAAATGTATTACCACAAACATAACCAATTTTGCCAAGAGTGCCCCACCCCCACAGGCTTATCAATCTGTTTCATTTAGGGGTGAGAGAAAAAGTTTCACACGTTATAGAATAGGCAATACCCTCGTCTTCTGAGTTATGACACCATGATGATGAAGTCAACAAGTTCCTCTGAACTGCCAGTACCTCTCTCCCCCATTGGACTACTGAATCATGATCCAACATGAATGATCACAGTGAATCTTTACTGCTGAGACAATACCTTCATTAGGTCATCATCGCTGCTTCTTCCCAAATCCCTTTCAATTCGTTTGCCAATCATCCTACCCCTTGACACTATAGGATAAGTAGCACTGATAAACAACTCCCCCCCCCCAGACACACACACACACCAAAATACAACACAGGGTCCACACATGCACAAATTATTTGAAAATTAACGTGAATAAAAAGTTATACGAAACTACGAATTGTACCATCTCACGTGTCAAAAGGACAAAATAGTCTTATGCAAAGAAATGGCAACAGCATAAAAACGAGTGAACTGATGATAACTTCAAAGTTTCTGGTTACTCTGGTACATACAACAATGAACTGATCACTAAATATTGTTTATTACTTGCTTCAACAAAAGTCAGACCTGTTGAAGCTACGAAGAAAGTTCTATAAAGCACGGGCTGTGTTACAGTTTTACTGTAATTATACTGCTTTCCTCATTGCTTCACACTAACAAAATTTACTGCTGTAATGTCCATACCAACGCCCCATTCCTTTTCGATATTTTCTCTCTTCAGACCTAATGAAGTCTGGCGAAGTTACTCCGACTACAAGAAACTTTTCAGTTTCTATCTAATACACAGGTCCCAATGTCTGTCCACTGTCCACAAAGTGTATTTTTATCTAAACGAGCTCGAACGTGTGCAGTTCTGAAAACAACTGTCACTTCGTAAAATATCACACATAGTTATAAAATGTAGTGAAACCTCGCCGCCTAAAATTCGGGGCAAAAACGCTTTATTAAACAGAAACCATTTGGTTCACTGTCCTACACCATTACCTACATACATAAGCTATTCATTATTGCACTATTGCGTAAACTTCAGTTAGAACATAATTTGTGAACACGTTACAGCAAAACGTCGTCCACAATAACAAAACACATGGCGCACTACATAATTAAGATTCTACTTACCTGGATATGACAAACCTACATCTAGTCCCAGACAGACGACAAAAAATAAGCAAAACCAACAATACCTCCAAGAAACAAACAACGCCATTTTTAACTTTCCACTTCCTGACGTCACTCGCAACTTCCTTTTTTATAATACATTTTTTCGAGAATATACCCTTTCATGACATCTATTGACAGGACCTTTAAACTAGTGACAGATGACAATCACAGCTGGCCAATGAGGTTGTGGATTTGGAGTAATGAACGTCATGCTGCGACCAAAGACATTACAAAGAGTGAGCATCTACTAGGATCTACTAGCGCCACTTGCCGTAAATAACACGGGTCAACTACTCGTACATGAATAAATAGGGTCCGCGTAACTTTCTATTGCACATACTACTTGTGTCCAACAAATCAAATAGGGAAATCCTATTAACGTAATTTAGTTCTAGTCAACACGGATCACTAATTATAGCGGCTTAGTGCTGGACTCGGTCATATGATCGGAACCTTCCATTGCTTACAATTTTAAACATGATATATTTTGAAGAGTTCTATATTCTGTGTGGTCTTCAATCCTGAACATATCAGCAACATTTTCCTCCGAAAAGTCGGCTGACTTTGAACGAACTACACTATATACTCGTATATATATCATAGAAGGTAGAAAGATTCATTTAGCGCTGTGAGAATTTCATATTGAAGAGTTTTTTTTAATTATCATTGTATGAAAGATTATTACGTGCCACTGCATGCCACCAGAAAATAAAAATCATTATGTATTTAGAAATAATCCTTGCTATGGCCTCAGTTTGTGGTAATATTTGTTTTTTCCATCAGAGATACTCATCGTACATAGAATGGATACAGGCTGAGTTTATAGGAAAAAAAACATTTTGAGAAGACTTGGGGAAATATTGGAAGTTAGTAACATAACTCCACCCTACCTCCCTTCTAGAGGTACATCACTGTACCGCAGAGTTAGTACTTAGTACTAATAATATGTACTAGATGGCAGGGGGCAATTTGCTCCTACTGCTATCTGTAGACGTTAGTCAAACTATTCGTGACACTTCAGTTGAGGGGAAATATTTATTATTATTATTATTATTATATAATTTTTTTATTTCTATTTTTATTAATATTGACATCACAACCCTTTGTGGACTTTGGTCAGCTCTAAAAACCTTCTCCAACCACCCTGCTCATGTGCCTTTGTTTTCCAGTTAACCACACCCAAGTTTCTCAACAAGCCCTCCTACTAGATTAAAAAACATAAATTATAATTAATTAATTAATTAATTTCAAACATGCATGGGTGCTGCCAGGACTTTCTTTTTCCTGGTGAGGCGAGAAAATCTGCTTACAAGCTAATGTTTAAGTAGTTAATGAACCTTTTTACCTATCATGCTAGAGTATTCTGAACAGATTAATGTTCTTTAAATTCTTCAACTTTTAGGCTGTTTTCATGTTTCCGTGTTGTCTGTGTGTCAGTGTATCCCCTCATTCAACAACTATTAACTTCTGAATGCTTGAATTAACTTTATGAAACTTGGCATGTGTGTTCTGGCACTTGAGTGCACCCCACTGGAGTATTTCATAAATCCCTCCTATCAGTCTGTTTGTCTGTGTGTGTATTCCTCCTATCATTGCTAGGCAAAGGTTCGGTAAAGTGTATGCATCCTTTCACTGCTAGACAACGGCCCAGTAAACACATTCCCATGGCAACAAATACATGCAAGAGAACTGTTTGACATGTGTATCAAGGGGTCTGGCTGTGTATCCCCCTATCGCTGCTAGGTAAAATCTCGGTACAACGTTCCTGTGACAACGATGAATTGTTTGAGGCATCGTTCTCTATGCGGTCCATGTTGTCTCAAAGGAAAATAGGCAATTAGTTCTTCACAGACCTTGTTATTAGTCATATTTGGTATATTTCCTTATTTTCTTCAATGTTTCTGTCCCTGAGAATACTTCCAGCACCCCCACAACCTCATGCAATGCCCCCACTTCATAATCACTGTGTGCTAAGGGGGCTATAGATTTCATATGGCACATATGGGCATCACCTGCTGAACCTAATTCTGAGACAGTTCTGATTGGTTCCCTGCCTTAAAGCCCTAGATTCTAGTCACATCAACGCATTCCAGTGGAAGGGTCAGACATTCCTTCTGTCAAGGTGGACTGATCCGTAGCACGTATAGTCAGCTTCGTGGAATCATTGCCTAGAAAACTCACTACACTATCAAACTAATGTGCAGTGGGTCCTACATGTACCACATCCAGTACATTTCCTACAGCATGTATTTAATGTTATTTTGTATGATTCTCATAATAAATGACAATTATTCCTCTACATAACAATAAATTAGTGTTCTATTTAATGGAGACAGTGCTTCTGTGGATACGAACTGAATCTTTAGATATCATTCATACGAATTTGCTGTTGCAGTTTGTTGTAAATTATTAGGACGTGGACGGCGCAATGCTTGGTAACCCCCCCACTTTTCCAGCGGTGACATAACAGCATCGGAGCAACTGCCGCTGCTACGGTAACAGGCCAGTCAACACTCTGTCCCCTTCCCCGTAGTGTCCTCTGTTACGTCACTTGGGAAGTGCTGTTACATCACCACTGGAAGGGGGGGGTGTCCTGCATAGCACAAATACGTCACACTATGTTCCCCAGATACTAAACAATGGGTGAACAGGCTGAATGTTCTGGAAGAAGGAAGAGGTGATGACTGTATTCTGTGTACTCTGGTAGGCAGGCGCCAACATTTTGGGAGGAACACACCGTATCATCTTCAAGGCATAAGAAGGTGATGATGATGGCAGCAGCTTTGTCCTAACACTGGTACCTGTCTACCAGCCTACCTGGCATTCCATTCAGAAAATTATCATCATCATTCATGGTATAAAGGTCCCTGCCCATAGTGGTGTGATGGGTCTAGGCTCCCACATCTTCGAGGCGGTCGGCTCGTGTATGGTGGTCAGGTTGTCAGCCTTATGTGCTGGCTGCCCTTTTACCCGCAGCAAATTCCTGGTACACACTTCTGATAGAGGCTGACTCAAACCCAGGGCCATAGCGTGGCTGGAAGGAATAGGTTAACTGAAAATCCAATCATGGTACATATGTTTTAATTCTACTTATGTATCATGCTGTTTCTTCATCTGAGCAGAGTACCATGTGTGCATGGCCAAGCTATCGGTTTTTCAACGCATGCCCCATTTTCATTATTGTGCAGAAATTGGCTCTGCCGCAAACACTTTAAAATAAGTAATTTAATAATTCCCAAGTAAAAATGGTATGAAGCTGCAAAGGGACTTCCCATATCCCATGACAATATTATGTATTATTATTATTAGTAGGCAAATTTATCATTAGTTGTTTAATTTATCCAAATTCATTAGCCTATCTCTCCTCATTATATTATCCCTTTTAGGCAGTGGTAACTGTATGTACCACCTGCTCTAACATTCAAAATCTTAGCATTTAGTTTACACAATGTACATTTGTTTATATGTTTTGAATGACTGTCAAAATAAAGAGTGATTATTTCCAAAAATAGCATCAACAGATTAATCTTTGTGATGATGTGCTGTGCTTTCTGTGAGCTAGACACATAATTTTAAATTATTATTTGGATTAGCTCTGAGTTTCACCGGGGCTCAGAAGAAAATAGTTGTGTCATTGTCTTTTGTGTGTGACCTTGAGAGACATACGGTACTAGAATGCAAGCAAGCTCACTGAGCTCTTTCAGATGATTTTCAATGGAATATATGAAACATGTGTAAGAAGCCAGTGGTCTTCTTTGCAAAACAATGGATACTACACACGTTGTCCTTTGTAGGTTAGAAATTTACTGAAGGAGCCATTAATTGGACAAAGAAAGAACTGTTTTATGGTACCTCAGTGCACTATGTGAGAACATGGGTCTCCCAGAACTTATTTCAAGGGGAATAGTCAAAAATTTTATTACAGACTTGAGCTTAAACAGTTTCAGACTGCTTTTACTGATCATTTACAGTATTCAGCTTAGAAGAATAGCTTAGAAAAAAAAAATAATTTGGTGTATCTCTTTTATCTGGGTTATATTTTTCTAAAAGTCCATGGGAGGGCACAGATGCCTGGCTTGCCCCTTTGCTGGTGCCCATGTGTGTGAGATGCTTAAGTTATGACATGTTTGTTGCCTCACAGGTGATAAACATTCATACAGATGCTACATATCCTAATCCCTGTAAATTAAAGTTTGATCACTGTGAACACAAAAGTGTGGGATGCCAGAATTTGGAATTCCATGTGATCAGAAGCCAAAAGATGAAACAGCAGAGTACATGCGGTCCTTTGCTAGGCAACGCACATGAAATAGATTTTGGGATACAAATGAGCCACTCCTGCTTTTTCGATTTTGAATAATTTAACTACTGGCCAGTCAAAACTTAGGGAACAAATTAGTTTAAACATAGCACAACGTTCCTTTAATTGTAAATACAGCTTTTGGAATATCATTTGATTTGAGCTGGCTCAAGACAGGATCAAACAGCTTGTTTTGTGGCGACGGCAATGAACGTTCTGTTACATACTACCAGGAATGCATGAGAGTTCCGAAAATAACTGGAGAGGCCACCAGTTTGCAATGTGTATCTTACTCCCATGGGTGCTCCCCGGTGTCACGGCCTTCCTGTCGAGTGCAATGAAGATCGCTGTATGATTTTAAAAGATAACGGACAGAGGGACAAGCGTCCCTTTAACGGTATGGCGTGGGGGGTCTGCCAGACAATTAGTCAGTCAGTCATGCGCGCCCCTGCTGGCTGATCAATAAGTTAACAGCTCCAAGCCGCCGTCACCACACGGCCCGCAGTACTCTGCACCAGTGGCGTTTCAACATTCCCGCAGCTGGCTAAGAATGCCATGGTTTTCCTCAGACATCCTACAAGAGGCTTCAATGAAAACGACGATAATATAAAAAAGTAAAGCTATCCCTGTAACAGGCCGTGGAGGCCCATTGGGTTGTGAGACGTCGAAGCTCTCACATTCTCTACACAATCGGCTCACGAATGACGGTGAGGTTACCAGCTTTACGCGCCGGCCGCCCTTTACCCCCAGGGAGATTCCTGCTACTCATTTC